TAAAGCGTCGGCAAATCAGGCCAATTTCCCAACGGATCAATTGAGCCCCCCAAGTCCCCAACCCCAGCTTCCAGATCATACTTATGCACGAAATCTCCGAACGGCATCACCAGATCCTCCGGCACAGGATCAGGTAAATCAAGCCCGACCCTTAGATACGGGTACTCTTTCAACTGCGCGATATAGCGATCCATAGCAGCGTTGGATTCCGCCTCCGCAGTAGCAGGTATGGCCGTTCCCGTGACGAAGTCAAACATGTCGATCTTGTAATCGAATGCCGAGTAGGTCAGCGGTATGTTGAAGTGACCGAAAAAGTCCTGCACAATAGACATGTTCTGGTAGTAGGTCACCCCGTATTCGATGGGAAGCGGGGTGACGGCTGGGTTGGTGTACGTGGTTGTCTGTCCGCCCAGACGCGGTTTGCGGTCGATTACGACAACGGACTTGCCGAGTTGTTGAAGACGGATGGCAGCGTAGGTTCCTGCTGCGCCGCCGCCGATGATGCAGACATCGCGGGTTAGCATTGGACTCGTGCTAGTGGTAGTGGACATGGTGGTTGTGACGATGCCGAGGGTGATGAGGAGCTTGGTGCTGGGTATGCTGAGATGCATCTTGACGTAGTTTGGTCACTAAGCACGGAGGATATTTATATTCTTGTCTTCCGGGTAAAGACACCTCTCCTTGTGTGATATGACGCGGAATATAAGATATCCCCGAGACGGGAAGGGATGTTCAGCGAAGAGAAGTCGGATGTGGTAAGATAATGAGATGAGATGAGGTGATACGCACAGCCCAGTGATGTATATCCCATGAAGAAGACGAAGGCATCGAATACGATGCTACTATACTCCTCGGACATGGTGTCGATTTATATCATTGGCCAGCTTTACAATTCTTTGCTCAACATCATATACGACGCGAATTTAGATATGCACCGAATTCAGGCAGCAATGCGTTGATGTTGAAGCCACGATCACAAATCCGCCTAGGGAAGAAGCAACCCCTTGACCTCGCATAATCATACGATGTCATATCTAGATCTGGGCGAACAATGGAAAGAAGTCCCTCGCCGCTACATCGTCCGTATCACATCATATCGCTTCGTATCCATCCACAAGGGTTTCACCCGCGCGGAGGATAACTGTCAGACCTTCAATCACTCCTTTGTATCACCATTTCAAACTGCGCCGTGATGCCACTGCGGCTTACCTCATCCCAGGCCGTATCGCTCTTGGAAATGTATAATCGTGTTGGCAGCAAGGTGATACAGTTATCTGGCTAACATGCTGGTTGATGGAGAAATGACAAAGTCCTTCAGAACCCAAGTCTTCCAGGTAGGAGTGATATTATTTGGAAACGTATGTAATGTCGCTCCTCTCATCACTACTGAGATGAGGATAAATTAATATTCTCCTTCTTCAAAACTAAACGAAATAGGACTCCATTCTGCCGTCTTGACGTAACTGCCAGCACTGTCATAATACAAATTCCTCCGAAGCTATGGTACAACATGGAATAGTATCACATTAGCCAATGATGAAATAATGAATACATGCTTTGTTAACCTCCTGGCTAAGAGACGCTTAGGTAGGACTTGGCTGCGCAGGAAACAATTGCAACCAGCCCGACGGTGATCCTAAATAAACCCGGCAAAGAAGCTTTGAAATAGCATTCTTGCTCCAAACTCTCCATCTCCCCTTTCCTCCCTTCTAGACTCACCCTCTACTAGGGGTCCGCAAACTCAAGCCCGCTCAACTCCTCCAAGCTACTGCAACGCGCCAAACCATTGACTAACCCGTTAGCATGGGTAATTATCCTTTTCAAGGTTGATATAACCCCATTTGTGTCTCCCTGTTCCCATTCATAACTGTGCCCTCGAAATACTCATGCATTGCTTTAGGGACATTGTTGAATCGTTACTTCGCGAGAGGAGAAACATCATTTTGCGACGAACTGATTCGTCCTCGACTAGATGCGATACTCACGTTGGTCTTGGCCAGGGCAATCAAGGAGAATTGCAACACAAGAGATACCGACCATGATTTAGACAAAGAGTCTACATGCAGCTCTAATTTCTCATCGGCCATTGATAAGGTGCCTTGCTGGATGGCTGAACAAAAGCCACTCTTCCCTCTATTACCGATGTATCGTCTCAACCGACAGACTTTACTCTAGACATGGTCCTTCGGTATGGCTAGCGTCCAAATCTGGACAAGTGGTCAGGAAAAAGAGCATTATTGAAGATGAGACCTGGGGGGTCCTTGCGGCTATGTTTACGTCCATTCCTGTTCCCTCAATGCTATATTTAGCTTCGAAGGTCATTATCATCTTCATCTGACACAGCCGCTATTCATCGCGTACACAAGAAGGCCGGTGACTTTAGGTCAATATACGGAATTCATACAGACACCTACCATTAGAACTTTTTCTATTTCAATGATGATGGGAAGGTAAGACATCTCATATACCTCTTGCGGTTGCTACCTTTATTGCTGTTTCCGAAACTAAACCATATTGAAAATGCAGTACTCTGCTAAGTTGAATTTATCCTGGAACTCCGATCAAGAGGAATTGTGAGTTGCATCTGCCAGATAATCAGGCAGGGTATGGCTTTCTGTGAATTGGTAGGAGGCATTGATGACCTGTTCACTTAACCAGAGCGAGAATCCGATGAATCTGGTTGAGAAGGCGATGCAGATAATCCTATCATCTGGCCGCCCTGGTGAGCAGTTGCTGGTAGGAGATCTTTGTCTTCTAGCTTCCATTCTTTCACCTTCCTCTCTAAGATGTAGGCCATCTTTGTGCGATATATAGCCAGGCGAGATGAAACCCCTTAAGTATACTAGTGCCATAGAGAAACTTCATTCCTACTAGGACCGCCTATCTAAGTGTCATTCTCCTGGTAATTTACGACCTATTCGAGAATATACAACGACTCTGGACTGGAGTAATCACCTGAAAGACAACATAGGGAAATAGCCATCATATATATATCTCAAATGAGGTTACTTTCTATCGGGCAATACTTGTCAAGGTCGAATGGTTCACAAAGTTGCTGCTTGTCAATTCCCAAGATGTGTGTGGTACTTAGATGCCTGACTCCTAGCATCTTAGCCTCATGGACTACCGGAATTGCTTTATTCCATTTCCCATCGACTTCTGTATCATAACAAATAGTCTGTTCATCCAGACAGCATATACAGTTTTTTCAGCACCTCAAGGTAGTTCGACATTTATCTCAAAATGCAGATAAACAGAACGACCAGGCCTCACAAATGAGCAAAAACATCGGTTCTGACCTAACTGGTATCCTTCCCGACTTATGCGAGAGTATGCTAACAATGCCACTTTGTGTAAAACAAACGCGCAGCCAAAGCAGCGTACAGGAATTAAGGGGCACAGAAAACCGGTCCTTCGACGAGATAGTTCGTTTCCATTAGTAACAACCTCCAAATTGCCAAGAAAAATAACCGGGAAATTCTGGAATCAGACTTGTCATTGGAAAGATGAGGAGACTCTTTTGAGACTTCCAAGCTTGAGATTCAGCCTTTGCCAATCATAGTACACCTTGATACCTTCGTCGGTTGTCATTCTCTCATCGTGCCCCGGAATATGAATATAACATTTATTCCCTTGCGGTTCCTCTGGGCCTGTGAGAATTGCGTCTAATTTGTGTCATTAGGAATAATGTATAGCAGCATATGAAGGGTATCTGACTCCCCCAGCTTCAGGCGTGGCAAAAAAAGAGGATCTCCATGAGCGTTGTTCACGTACCCAACGTTGAGTAATCGTTCACCCGGTGCTAAATATCTGCGATCATCGGGGAAATTACAATAAAACTCCATATAGTTCTCATATTGATGGTGAATTGATCGAAAGTATTGAGTGATTAAGGGATGCACTATTCTGGTACGCTGTGCTCTGCTCCTATTTGTTGTCCAGTGTTGAAGAGGATACCATCGTTCCGGGCTCGGGTATATGCCCTCGCTTAGCGGGTGTCTCTGTGCTAAAAATATTCATTTTGTGTACTTCGACGGTATGGGCTTCGCTCCGGCGTTGGCTGGATTGTAGTTGTGTACTCGGCTGCATAGCGGGTGTTCAGGACATGCCGTGTATAACGCATTTATTGTGCCCAAAATCCATGTCCTTCTCGAACTGCAGATAGACCGGTCACTGGGACGTGGTGGAAGAAGTAGTGCAGTTAGTATGCACCGTCTCTTTCTTTTTAGTACCAATGGGGCTAAATGATATAAGGAACTGCGTATTCCATTCATTGTCTGTGAATGCTAGTCACGAAATTCAAAATCGTAAAATTCGCCTTTTGAGATTGACGGACTGTGGATATGTTATTATGTCAGAAAGGAAGGGTACAGTTAGGAAAGGTGGTATATCAAATTGAGCTTGGTTAATTATGTGTATGTTTGACAATTGACCATAATTTTAGGCCTAATCATTGGAAAGACTTTGAATGCCATGTATGCTTCTTGATTCTGATAAGTTGGCTATTTGTTATGGAAAGGGAAGGAAGAGGAAGGTGGTGCAGGCGAAGGCTTTATAGGTGCTGCTGATGATTCGGGCAGGGAATGACTCTTATTGAACTGTGAACACTGTTCACTGCCGACATTCCCGTTCTGATCCTAGTATTCAGATTCACAATATAAAGCGCTTTATGTATTTTGAATTTACGCATTAACGTTCAGATTCGTGCCTTCACCTTACGCTACGCCATCCAGTATCCTGTATGATTTCGGGGCGGCTACCATGATGCTTGGGAAGCAGCGCCTCTTCTCGAAATATTCGGTCGAACAAAGACATGATCTGCAAAACATGCAAAGCAAAGACTAATAAATTGTTGAGGTAGCCTGCACTATGAGTAATAGCGGTTCCAGGGCAAAGGAATAACCCGAAGTACAAGCCATAATCACCGACCAAGAGACAAAACACACCGATCACAAAACCAAATCATATCAACATTCTAGAATTATCCCCGGCGACTCACTTTAGTGCTCCTTTTTCATCTGATTTTCAACCACAGTATTTCCCTCATGATCGGTATCAGTAAACCAATTACGATAATTAACCTTCGGGCCAGTCTCAGACATGATCCTGGAGGTCTCCGCAAGAACCTCATAGTTCTCCAACGAGCTCAACCGCACAAAAGGTTCATGGAGTGCAGGAAAGCCAAACTGCGCTCTGATCTCATTCAAGATCTCATAGACCATTTTGGTATCCCCATCCAGTAGCCATCTGTCCCCCCTAACAATGGGATGCATAGCATAACAATTACCGAATGAACGCACAGCCCTGAAAAAGTGTACGTGACCCAGCCACACCTTGGCAACATAGAGACCTTTATCAGACGGCAATCTGGAGTCAGTCTCAGCACACAATTCATGCGCTCTTGCGTCCAACCACACTGCTGTGGGCAGCTTGGTGGTAGGCTTTTTACTGCAACCGACGAGAATGATGATTTCGTTGTAATCGTGGTGCACAAACTTGCAGACCTCATAAGGGCTCTTCTCTTCGAAAATCCTCCTTTCAAGAACAATATTGTACTTGAGTGGGTGGAAGCCGCTTTGGGTCTCGGACTGGGTGATGGGGTTGTGTTTTTGGGTGAGGATCTGTTTGAAGCGCTCGGCCCAGCGCACAACTTCACAATTTGGCCGATCTGGGCGATACAATTCAGACATTTTGTTGTTGTAAGTAGCAAAGATATGACTGGTAGTGTATGATAGTCTCGGTAAGATTGTAGTCTCGGTGGGATTTTATCACATGAAAAGAACTGTTGATACAGGTTGGTCGTTATAAAGAGCCTTGTCCTTTGGAGTGTGTAGTCAGTGACATGGAAAAATTCAGTAGGTGACAACCCATCGAAGCCATTATAACAGGTCAGTCCTCAAGGACTTCCTGTGCATATGTAATTTCTATTATTTATTATTTATCATATACAGTGACTCGTGAAGAAATCAATGAATCAAGTATTTGGAATATACCATGCCTTTCACATATAAGTGCGAGAACTGCCTGTGTAACAGCAGACAATCAGTAATCACAGTCACTTACCTGGGCCTTGAGGAGGCATAGAAGTGCATAAGCAACAACACACAATTCACAAGTTACTCTGATAAGCCATCACGGAGGCAGCACCCATGTGCTTATAGGCACATGGTCTGTCCTCGAGCCGGTGTGACAACGATAAGCCTGACTATTGGATGTTTCCATGACAAATTGACAAGTGCGTGTCTAGGGTTATGGGTTTTGTATTCACTAAATATTGTCTATCATGGGTCCAACGTATGAGAGCCACGTCTACCTATGGGAATATGATAAACGGACTGCTTTTACAGGATGTCCTTGCGCTTTGCCACGGAACCTCCCGGCCATAAGTGCTGCTTTAAGGCGGTCAGGGCGGGCAGTATGGGGTATCGCCAGCGTTACCGGCAATAGGCTACTAGTGCAAGCCCTACATGATCATCAACCCAATCAGCAGCTTGCAATGGACCCAAACACAGTGGAGTGATCCATATCTGTCAAAATGGAAAAACCAGTTTTTACGGGCGGATGAATCATCCGGCGCCGTTCTACCTCCCCCCTTGGTTCACAGCGTTGTCCCTGTATCACCAGCACCACCCCCACTCCAACTGTATCTCCATAGTATTGTCAAAGACCACTGAAACTTTCTTGTCGACCCCACCGTTAACCTCCAATACTTCCCAATATCGCCATAATGCAGCCCATTGCTCCAGCTCCACAACGCCCAGCTACCTCCAACCCTTCCTCTACCCCCAACGCCTCTGTCCCTCGGCTTCGCAAGGCATCAGCAGCATGCTGGGAATGCAAGCGATCCAAGGCGCGGGTAGCAGCAATTCTCTACAATCTCTAAATATTTTACCCCAGACGCTAAACCGTGACAGTGTCAAATCAGAGAAGGCGCCTCCCAGTGCGACCGTTGTACCGAACGTCGCCTTTCGTGTGTATTCGATCTGGAAGAAGACAAGCGGCGGAAGCTGGCTCACAAACGGAAAATTTTAAAGCTAGAGGAGGAGCGCGATGACCTGCTGCAGCTAGTCAAGGCACTTCAAGATAGCTCTGACTCCAAGGCTATTCAAGTTCTCAACCTCATGCGAAGTAAGGCTCCACTCAGCGAAGTTAAACTTTACATAGATAACGACAATTCGGAGCTTGAACGAGAGACTACGCCGACCTTGAACAAACAAATGTCATCGCATCGAGGCCCAGATATCCAGCATCCTGTAGATATACCCGTCTATCGTATTTCAGCCGCCCCGTGGATCTCGGTCACTGAAAGTGACGATTTTGTGTCTCATCTAATCTCCCTATGGTTGACCTGGAGCCATCCGTTCTATAACTGGATTGATCGGGAGCTATTTCTTCGTGACGAAATTCGCAATTTTGTTCCCCATTCCTTGTGAACTGCATTTTGGCCGAGGCATGCGTAAGCTAATGAGTTATCACAGAGCGTTTGTTTGTGGTCCGCTAATTGACAAACCTAGTTTCACTCCGACTGTCCAGAGGCTTATGCCGACCCGAATAATCCAAATTCGAAAGGCGTCCATTTTTACGAAGAAGCGCAGAAGCTCTACAAGAAGATAGAGGGTCGGCTCGATATGCCATCCATTCAAGGATGCGGGGTGCTGTTCGTGTGGTGAGCTATTTCCCAACTAAATGACTTGTCCCCTCATTAAACCTCACTGTCCAGTATGGCGGCCATGGGTAAGAATCGCATGGGCTGGTTGTATCTCGGTCAAGTTCGCAGCATGGCTGAGGAATACGCCAAGATGCATCTTGACTCGCCGTCCTCGACCCCTACCAGGGAAAGTCGCGCAATTAATAATACCATCTGGGGCATATACAATCTTACAGCGTAAGTCTGCTCACATCTGGCTTCTAGCATTCTTCAATCCTAAGCTATATTCTAGAACGGCATCAATCTCGCTCATGAAACATATGGCCATTGATCATCTCGAGGAAGATATCTGGACCGCGTACCCCCGGCAAATGGATCCAGTTCAGTCGCACATTCCTTGCGTGCTAAACAGGTTCACTACGCTAAGTGAGATCAGCGTGGATGCGAATCGACTCGTGTTCGCAAGCGGCCTCAAGTCACCACGCGATGAACTTGAAGAAGCCCTTAAAGGTATCCTGGAACGGCTAGACGTCTGGAAGAGCAACCTTCCTACATGCCTAACCCCCGACAACCCCACTGTTTCTCAATCGTTGAGTTCGCAGTAAGGACCATAACCCACCCCGAAACCGACAACAGCATGGACTTTAATTATTGTGTTAATAACCAGAGTACTTGCATCCAGTATGCTCTATCACGCGGTGGTGATCATGCCTTGGAGCCTTCTCAAGAAGGAAGACACGAATGGTGAAAAAAATTTCAAGATAACTCGCGAGGCAGCATGGAAGGCTGCGTGGATTCCGCCTTAGCAATCATCGACTTTCTACACATTCCTCGCGCCCGGTGGGGACCAGATGACATTTCACCGACGACCATTCACTGGGTGAGTATGGCGCTCTTCACTCTGGTAGAGGACCTTGACAACAGTGACCATTGCAACGTCTTCACTGAACTTGGTGTCACTGTGTTTCCTTTTCCCAGAGAAGGACTCTTTTGAAAGAGATTTTGCGGATTTTGCGGGTGTTTGCGCAGAAAAAGGGATAGCTCTTCTGCCGGATAATCGTGTCGTCTCTGTGAACTTTCTAAAGATGTGGGATGCGAGCCTTCCAAAACAGTTTTGCAGCCTTTATCTGAATCCTACTTCGTTGTCGGAGACGAGATGGGGTCATACACTTAATGAGGCGGAACTGGACGGCTTTCTTGAGAAGTGGGATAGTCTTGATCTTCAAAATGGCGTTGCGGATGTTGGTTGGTATGTATAACGCGGGTGGATTCGAATGTTGGTGCTAGTTTTTGAAGAAGTCAGGAGTGAAATGGGAGGTTCCTGCTGTATTTCGGGGAAGATTGAATTTGAACTGCCTATTAAATCAGAGAGCATCTTGTATATCAAAATGCTTGGCAGGGGCCTTTTTCCGATGGACTCTGCCGATCGGCGAACCATAACGGAATCAGCAGGGATGATCAGCCCAGGATGCCACTCAATCAAGGGCTGACATGATATCCGCCCGTCGATTTTTAGTGCCCGGGCGCGCTTATATCTTCCCCCATTTCGAACTTGTTATTCTCACTTCTACCAAACCAACAACCACTTTCAACCCAAATTACACAAGCATTAAATTCCCCAAACACAATGGCTACCGAGAAACCCTCAATCGTACTCATCCAAGGCTCCTTCCAGACCCCCCTTGTTTACGCCAAGTTAGCAGCGGGACTTCGCGACCTAGGATACCCCGTCACCCACCCAGCCCTCCCCAGCTGCACCGACGTAGAGGCCGATGACTTCCCTACCCGCACAATGGAAGACGATGTGCGCACCATCACGGAAACCCTACAGCAGCTAATCGAAAAAGAGGAAAAGTCCGTCGTCGTTGTAATGCATTCATACGGTGGCATCGTGGGCAGTACGGCTATTCCCCAGTCCCTCGCCTATACTTCCCGTCAAGCAGAGGGCAAAAAGGGTGGTGTTTTACATCTCTTCTACTATGCTGCCTTTGTTCTACCGGAGGGCACCTCCGTCATATCAACATTTGGCGAGTCGCCGAACAATTATGTGACCGTATGTTTATTCATCATCTAATCCGATTAATATATCAAGGACCAGCTTAATTTCTTGCTTTTAGTCGGACGGCCGCTTCCGTATCATGAACGGAGCCAAAACTCTGTACAGTGATCTCCCGGACGCCGAAGCAGCCCTGTGGGAATCGCGCCTCATTCCGCAGTCTTACTTGGTACAAACCACGCCCACCACTCGGGCGGCGTATGAGTATCTGCCATCTACCTATCTCATCTGTGAGGGTGATCAGGCTGCACCGGCTACATTTCAGGGCGGGTTTGCTAAGTTGGCCCGGGCGGAGATTGATCGCTGTAGCGCGGGTCATTCGCCGATGCTGAGTGAGCCGGAGATGTTGGTGGGGAAGATTGCGGCGGTGGTTGATAAGGCGGTTGCGGCGTCTGTTTAGTTTGACATATGATAGAGTGGTTCAGTTTGTTCGAAATATGATATAGCTATATATAGTCAGTGCTAGAGGGGTGGTTCTTGTAAAGGGAGATAGATATCTGGAATAAAACACCGATGATCGGCGGTTATTTCCCCTCCCCCTCTTACTTGGCTGGCCGTCAGATTTTGGTGTCATTGTTAACCAGTAAACAGCGCGTCTATCTTGGAGATAATTATGGTCAACTCGTCCCAAATCGAGAGGAATGACTCTTTGGGTATTCTAAAAGAGCCTCGTCTCGTCTCGTCGTGACTTACATACTAGTACATCATCTGTGAAAAGAAGCCTGGTTAAGTAGGAGCATTATTGAGCTAGTACTACTTAAGATATATATTTTTTTAACACATTAAGTACGACGATGGTTATTCATCTAGTAGCATCATGATGATGGAGCTTCAGCTTCGGTCAATTGGTATGCGCTATAGCTTGGGAAAAAGGAGTAAGTACCAATACTATTTTGGAAGAATAATTGTATGAAAATTGGCACAATTCATATCAGACAGGCAAAGTGATAACTATTCGATGATGAGCTCCAAAGGAGTCAAGTTAGCGATAAGATAGTGGCGATAATATTACTGACACGTGACTGCATATCGAACAGTGGTCGGAGTAACCCGGCCCGACCCATCTGACTGCCTTATCAGTCAGGCTGCGACTGAGATCTTCTCCATTATATCGCTTCACAACAACCTCATTGGGATTTGTAACGGTCAACTATAGCCCCAGCTGAAACTGGACATCTACGACCCCCTTTAAGTTGACAGCCGCAATATACAGGCTAAAAAGTAAGCTACTAACATACTCTGTACGTGTCATTTTGCATGCGTCGGCCTCTGTGGAGTTCTGTTCATTGCCCTGATGCCTTTTTTTTCTGCCTCAGGCCCCAATGGAAGCATAAGAACAGTCGAGGTGAAGAACCAGCATGCGTGATCCTTCTGCACCATTGGGTGCTTGGATCTTCACTCCTAGCCAGCCAATTCATAGTAAGGTCTAGGTCATTTAGATACGCTACTGGCCGACAAAGCCTATCAGATCCTCTCCCGCTGGTGTTGCCATCGGCGGCAGGGCGCACGCCATATCCCCTCCCACCAGCAAGGAGCCACCCGATCTCTGTCCAGCAACTCAGTTCATCCACCGTGAAACCAATGCCGTATCAAGCGGCTCACAGCTGCATCCTTGCAGCTTCCCCGCCCTGTTCTCGGCCGGGTTATGTATAACGCCATCATAGCCAAGAACAGCGTGACACTGACGGTTATCGGCGAGCCGCTACGCATTGTGCTCATCCGGCAGATACTTAAGACATCATGCCTGGCGTCGATGTAACTTCCTCGGCAACCCGAGGCTGATGGTCGTTTTTGCCGCGTAGCGCATTGGTCACCATGGCAGCTGTCGAACTCGTTACGCAAGGGACGGCCTATGGCCTCCTTATCGGCCTTGGTGTGTTCTTCTGCGGGGTGATTCTTATCGCAATCAAGGTGCAGAAAGTGTATCTGTCTGAGGATTCTGGCACGTCGGAGATGTTCATGGTCGCAAATCGATCAGTCGGTACGGGTTTGACTGCATCTGCTGTGTTCTCCTCGTGGATGTGGATCAACGAGACGGTGTTATCTGCGGCGATGTGCTATCGCTATGGATTGGCAGTTCCGCTGGTATGTCTGCAGTCTTTTATTTTAGTTATACCAGATGCTGATCTGTATCATTCGTACAGTGGTGGGGATCAGGTCTTTGTTTTCAGATCGCCTTGATGGCTGCTTTGGGTGTCATGGCCAAAATCCGGGTCCCGTATGCCCATACGTCGCTTGAGATTACTCGTATGCGATATGGCTGGATCGGGCATGTTATTTACATGGTCTTGAACTTGACGAACAACGTGTTTGGCTGTGCCTCGATGATCTTGACCGGATCCCAGCTTATTAACGGTGTTTCCGGCATGAACTTCGTTGCTGCGACCATTCTGATTCCCCTAGGAGGTAAGCTCGGTCACTGAATATCACAGGGTAATATACTGACATTTATGGCAAAGTTGTTCTTTACACGGCTGTTGGGGGGCTGAAGGCGACGTTTCTGACCGACTTTCTGCACACCGCAGTCGCCTTAATTCTGATCATTTATTTTACCCTCTCCGTCCTCACACATCCCGAAGTTGGCGGATTGGCTGGACTTTACGACAAGGTTGTCGCAACTGCGAGCGAAAATTACATCTCCGGGAACTTTGAGGGATCGCTGCTCACAATGAAATCGAAAGGCGCCATTATTTGGGGCTTGATCTTGAAATTCGGTAATCTAGCTCTGGTAGTTATGGTAGGCCCATCCATTCCTTTCCTCCAGTTATATGGCAAACATTAAGACTCACTCTGATATAGGACACTGCGTTTTGGCAAAAGTCCTTCGCCAGTGAAGTGAATTCTACCGTACCGGCATACAACTTGGCTGCCATAGCTGTCTTTGGTATTCCCTGGGGTTTAGGCACTGTTATTGGCCTGACTGCTCGAGCGCTCCACCACACTCCCATCTGGCCCACCTATCCCGTTGATATCACGACAACTGAGGTCAGCAAAGGCATGGTGATGCCGTACCTAGTCAAAGCCCTTCTTGGAGAGTCTGGAATGATCGCCTTTTTCGTGCTATTGTTCATGGCATTGACCAGCACCGTCTCATCCTCAATGATCGCCGTCAGCAGTATTCTGTCGTTTGATATGTACAAGACGTACATCAACCCCCAAGCCAGTGATCGCCGGCTCCTGGGAGTTAGTCACATAACAGTCGTATTCCATGCCATCTTTATTACCGGAATTTCCATTGCTCTCAACTACGGGGGCGCCAATATGACGTGGATCGGCTACTTTCGGCCTATTCTGTCCTGTCCAGGGATCATTCCTCTCGGACTGACTCTGTTCTGGTCCCGCCAGACGCGCCTCGCCGCTATCGCTTCGCCAGTGCTTGGCTTCTTTACTGGTCTCGCCATTTGGCTCGCCACGGCCAAGTCAATGTATGGGGCCGTGAACATGACCACGACTGGAGAAGAGCTGCCCGCACTGTACGGCGCTATCGGCTCTTTCTTCTCGCCCGCTCTCTATTCTGTGGTAATTTCTCTATACCGTCCGTACACGTTCGACTGGAGAGAGTTCCTCAGGATCGAACTCGCTGAAGAAGCACCGACCAGAACCTCGCCGCCTGCAGCTCAAGAGACCAAGGTTGAAGGGGTCTATATCTCGACGGATGCCAGCCCGACGTCAACCCCGAGCCGTCTCAGTTTAGACGACGTGCGCCACCCTTTCACAGAAGACACTCTGCGGAAGCTGCACCGATGGTCATGGATCGCGTGGGCCATGTTCGTGGTTTTGGTTTTGATTACCTTTGTGCTCTGGCCAATGCCGCTCTATCGCGACTATATCTTCACCAAATCATTTTTCTCGGGGTGGACTACGGTCGCAATCATCTGGCAATTCTGTGCCTTTTTCGCTGTTGTGGTTTATCCACTGTACGACGGACGGTTCGAGATTGCCAAGGGCGTACAAGGCGTATTAACCTCAAGTCGTGAGCTCATCAACCGGCACAAAAGTTAGAATGGGTTTTGTCAAAAACTTCTAGAACATTTATTATTAGATCTAATCCTGAATCGATGGTACTTCATCTCACATATACATTAAGTTCCACACGGAGACACTAGTTATCCTTCTTCGCCTCACTGGCGAGCTTCTCCATCTGCTCCTTTCTCTTCTTCAAAACCTGCTGGATTTCATCCATCGTCTCCTTGAGGACATTCTCAGCCTCCTTGCCCTTCTTCTCCTGCAGCGTGCGAAGCGACTGCAACTGGCCCAGAACATTCGATCCTCCAGGAACCATATCCGCCCACTTGCTCAAATCAAAAGACCCACTTTGCTGTGCCTGATCGACCTTCTCCTTGACATACTTCTCCACCTGCTCCGTCTTGCCTGACGACGCAGCCTCCTTCACCATACCCCACAACTCACTAACATTGCCCTTCTTCAACGCATCTGCATTATTCTCCACCAACTCCTTGACCTTCGGATTCTTATCCAAGTACTGCTTACTCTCCTCCAATCCCTTCTGCCACATCTCATCCCCAAGCTTCTGCAACTTCTCCGACTTCTCCTGAATAAGCTTCCTTACCTCCTCCACCGACGCAAGACTGAATCCCTTCTTGGCCACTCCGGCAAGTTGCTCCCTCGTCTTATCCACCTCCTCCTTTGCCTGCGGCCCATACGCCTCTCCCATCTCCTTCAACTGCTTCCACCCACCACCAACCTTCTCCTGCAACCACGGGTGGTTATCAAGAATGTCTCCGGCAGCATCGCCAGACAACTCCATCAACCGCGTCAGACTCTTCTGCAGCACCTGCAATGCCTGAATAGCGGTATCCGCATTCGAACCACCCTTGCTTCCCAGCGACTTCAGCTCCTTATACGCATCCCGAACAATGCTGTCTACCTCAGGCCCATGCCGTTGCTTCACCTTCTCCAGATCATCGAACGCAGTATCAATGTGCTGGCTCACGCCCGGGAGAAACACCGCATAGCTCTTCAGCGTATCGCGCAGCCAGTTCAGCGCCTTGTCCGGCTCTGGAGCGTTGTTGATGATACCTTGCTTTACTTGATCGGCATAGACCTGTGTCTGTTTCATGGTCTTGACGGCTTTGCGGGCTCCCGAAAAGTGGTACCATGTGTAGCCGGTGACGATGGCGACGAGACCGCCGCTGAGACCGCCGACCAGGGCGGGGTTGCTGCTGCCGGTGCCGGTGGAGCCGGAGGAAGAGGAAGAGGAGGAGGAGGATTGGAATCGAGCATTACGGTAGCGACCGGCTGATTGGCGGAGGCGTTGCTGTCGCAGACAGCGGGTAGCGACTCTGGGGGATCTGTTCATCATGATTGTGTTGGTGTTGGTGTTGTTAGGGAGGATTGAGGAGTTTAATGGCAATGAGTGGTTGTATTGGATCAATAAATTATTAGAACATCATTGAGGATATAATTGAAGGGAATTATATACTCAGGAATGAAGTAAACGGAGTGGTTGAATCACCTCCCGTCAAGATGACGCACGCCAAGCATTGCACTCACTAGTCCATAAATAGTAAGGACCTAACCACATCCAGCTAGCGAGATCTATCTTATCTCGCATCCGAGCCCCATCCTACTTGGTTAATTACGTTCATCACATTACTACATCATAGCCTTGTCCCAAAAGACCTGAATAACGTCATCACAACAGCCAATCCCATCAATATTTGCATTGGAATTAAGAATTGGCAGCTCGTAACTTGGCACACGTTGTACAGCACCCGATCTCCTTACTCTCTCCTGATTCTGGCTACTCCGCATACGGGACCGTCTTCAGCGATTTGTTCCTTAATCCGTTCTCCCCGTTGGTATTCATAACATGCAATATATCCGAAAGTGTTGTGCCTTCGCTTTTTCGAACATGCAATGAGCCAGCTCATCGCCAATGCAGTAACGAGTGTTAGAAGAGCTTAGGGTTCCGAACTCTCCTCTGTCAGGGCCTTGCGCTAATAGCACCGAGACGTTTGTGAGTCCGTAGGCGGATGCGAGTTCATCAGGCCCTTGTAGGTGAAAAGTGTTATCTGTCCATTCAGCTGGGATTTCTCAGTTTCTTTAGAGGGATACTGAGGCGGGGCGTTAGTTGGTGGGGTGGACTGGGGATTATTCGGGGTTTGGTTGGCATGGTAAGAAGAAGTGAATCTACTGAAGCAAGTATATCCCTGCGGCGCTCGGGTATTTCGTGATGTGTCACTGAAGAGTCATATTGACCCCATGAGACGTGCGAGGAAATAACTGCACTCCAGGGACAGCATTCTTGACTAAAAGGCTTGAAACTTTACTTTATATATCAAGTTCTTCAGGCGGTAATGGTGAGTGAGTCTTGAATGATTCTTGTCTAGCACTGGTAGGAACATCAAGCTCTCCCACCCAAACAAACCGGATATGCCTCAGTCATTTTACTAACTTTTTGAGACAGTTCGTCCTCCAGCGCATTAGCCAACTCGGAGGCACTGGTCTTGAGAGCTATGGGTACGGCTAACGAACCTCATTCTGGTCTTCCAGACTTGGGAGGTGCGTCATGGCCTGTATGGAACAACACATCTTCCTCTTCTGGAACGTCCGGCACCAGTACATTTTCGTCCTCCGGTATCTCAACAGCCTTAAGCTTCATCATCCCCACCTTTTCTACTTCCTTCTCTGCCATTACGCGTAGAATCTCTGGCCATGTCGTGAGTCTACTTATTTCGAAGATGTCGCACTGCCTGGCCTGTATAAATCGGCTTCATGCCTTAGGCATCAGCTGTAGCCCGTGTAGTCACGTGCCGTCAGCGGACCACGGAACCTTTCGACATTGCTTACTACCTAGCTTATGAGCTGTTCCATAGCTATAGTCAATCGACAGCGCAACTCAATCGCTGCAGGTTGGATGCATAAGATAGGGCGCTGGGTGGACAGTTGTGCTTCTCCCATAGGAGGCTGTTGATCCTGAGCCCACCTATCTGTCATGTCGACAATTTCCAAGCGTAAGCGTGCGAGGAAGGCCTGCATTCCATGCCACCAGCGGAAGCGGAGATGCGACAACCAATATCCCTGCGGCATGTGCACCACATACGACTATAGCTGCAGATATGATGACGACGCGACGGTTACTGTGGGAGATAGCGTGGATGAACCGCCCCAAGCTAAGCGTATCAGTGTTGATGGAAGAAGTCGTTTGGCCAGCCGGCCTCACGCAGAACAAGGGCACCGCGAAGCCAAGGCCAATAGCTCGTCGACGAAGAGTCCCACCACTGTAACCAGCACACCACCTGGACTCTTCGACGAACAGAAGTTCAGATATACGGGAGCATCGGCGGCTATGGCTTTTCCACATGTTCTGGGTGTTAATCTCGGTGGTGACAGTCCTCCGAGATTGCGGTCATGCGCCTACAACTTTGGTAACCGGCCAGACGAGGCTTCAAACCCTCATAGCTTTCTCGGGGATCTGATCTCCGAACAGGATCTCAGCCACTATGCGGGGGTGTATTTCACTGTCATGAACCCGATCGGCGACATCCTGGACCCTAGAATATTCGCCGATCGGTGTCATCAGTACTACGATGGCGGTTATAGTACAGATACTACATTCGCTGCTGTGGCTGCTGGCGTAGCCTGCCTAGGATCCTTTCTCTCCTCCAACAGACATCCAAGGGAGACTGACCTGGTGCTGTACGCCAAAGCGATTCTCGATGATCCAGCGTCCATGCGCACGCTAAACATTGATCACATCATCGCATGGGACATGCGTGCCTTCTATCTTCGCGCGACAAGTCGCCCGAAAATTGCCTGGATTGCCTCCTGCACCGTCATGCACCTGTGCGAAACAGTGGGGTTGCACGACGAGGCGAGCATCAAGAAGATAGCATCCAAGGCTGGCGCTGCTGTCCTTGGGCTTGATGCTGACCGGCTCAGAAGAATATTTTGGGCCTCATGGGCTGCACACAATATGCTATCGTATGAGCAAGACTGTTCTGCTGTACACTTTCGCTCTGTGACATGTCAGTCTTTCATCCCAACACCTGGGTCTGTTGCCGACCAGTTTGTTCGATTAGTCCAATGTACCCCTGCACCAAACTCCCCCTTTCGTCTCGACCTGGAGCCCGCGGACCTGAATGAGGAACTATTTGAACGTCTAAAAGCAGTGACTGAACTCAAAGTAACCCATCCGTTTTTAGTGGTGACCGCGGCAGACATCGCCTTTTGCTTTTATCGCCGCTTGTACCAGGCCCAGGCGTTGCCATCGCACGAATTCATCAGTCTCATCATTGATTGTGGCAATGCAGGAGTGAAGGCGGCCGAGCAGCTCGCTAACGAAGGTCATCTGTTCTGGAATGTCCTCGGCAGCGTCTTCCAATATGCTTGCGTTCTGTTGGCGACTGACAGCCCGATCGCCTCCGCTCACCTCGGCACTGTCTTCGAGCGGTTAGAGAACTTAGTCAAGGCGGCCGATACAACACTGACGCGCGAGGCATTGTCAATAGCACGACACCTACTCAGCCTCAAAACCGCTAAAAAGCGCAAGGAGCTGGCAGAGCTGGAAGCGATTGAGGCAGGCTTCCAGTCTGGTCTGACACCGCCAGAAGCAGAGGCCAACGCCTCTATGCCTGACATAAGCTGGGAGCTGTACTGGGATCAATTCTTTCTCGAGCCGTATCTGCCGACGTTCGGTGGTGGGATACTGCTATAGTGGGGAGTTAACTTGCGGACTGTAAATATGTATTTCGGAGAGTAGTCATGCTGTAAGAGATACCATACTGCTTACTGGGAACTTCGATGTTCAGAAATGTAGAAGATGCAGCCACGTGAGCGGCGTTGTTGCGGCTATTGCGGCGATACTCATGCTAGTGCGGAGTTAATTGACTATCTCCGCATCGCCGCTTTAGTTGGTGTGCGGCGGCGGCGGCGGACATGAGCGGGAATCTCACCTCATCATCAACTTACGCTCCTTCAGTGGGCGAAAGCCGCCCAATTACAGTCGGCAATGTTGCTAATTCCCTAAAGTCCGATCG